TGAGGCCGTCTCGGGAGCCGCTCTGGACGTCGTCGGGCCATCTTGGGCCGCCTTTGCCCCGTCTCTGCAGTCTTTGGTGCATCCTTGGCATGATTCGGAGCCCTTTTAGACCTATCTTGACCCTTCCTGGGCCATTTTGGGGCTGTCTCGTAGCCCTCAAGAGGCCGCCATCAGGTCGAGGGGTGCCACCAGGACCCAAGACATCGGGTCGCTGGGGGTAAACCAGGGTTGATGGGCATGGTATGGTAGGAACCCACGATGGTGGTACGGGCATAGTCCCCTTCCTTCCGACCAGCGTACGTCTGCTCAACTCGGCCACGTCTTTCTTCCCGGCCCTGCTGGCACTGGGGGCCCGCAGTATCATTCACTCTTGGCGTACTCGCATCCGATTCGTAGGCGAGTTGCCGCGACAAGGGGTGCGGAGGAGCGTCAGTCAAACAAATAGGGAGGACACCAGTCAAGCCGAAGGCAGGGTCAAATTGGGCAGCCTTGCAATTCCCAGCTTGGGGACTCATCGGAGCCTCTTCGAGGCGTCTCGGAGCCATCGCCCGGGTCTCTTGGGGCCCTTTGGAATCATTGAGGCCCTCTTAGGACCCTCTTGGCGCCCTCTTGCGGATCTTTCGGGCTCTCTTGGAGTTATCTCAGAGGTCATCGCTCAAGCACTAAGGTTCTCCATCAGCGCTAACCCCCCTGGGAGCCCTCGGACGCTCTTGGAGTGTTCTTGGGAGGGGGGGGCTGCACACGGGGTGGTCGAGGTCGAGGTCGTCGCCGCCGCCGCCCAGGACGAGGAAGTGGAGGTGGAGGAGAGAGGACGAGGAAAAGGAGGAGGGTGAGGAGAAGGAGGAGGAGGAGGAGGAGGAGGAGGAGGAGAGAGGAGAGAGGAGAAAGGAGAGAGGAGAGAGGAGAGAGGGAAAGGAATATGAAGAGAAGGACAACGACTCGAAGATTGGCGCGCGGCACCCGTGTTCTTGGATGTTCGTTTGTGGATCCTTGAGGCCCACCTGACGGATCTACCCGACTCCACAATAGACACGTCAAGTAAGAGATCGGCTTGCCAGCATGTACCCCACGGAAATTGATAATCCCCTGATGGCTCCAGGGACCCACATATGTTCTGGGGCACCTTAGGCCCCTCAAAGATCGACGAATGTGCCCCAAGATTCTGATTCGACTCCAGCCCAGCATAATCGACTTCGATCGACGGACGTTCGACGCAGCATCGGCGCACGAGTGGAGCGAGTGGCTCCAGGAAGGTCCCCAGAACGAGCGTCTGACTGTCCCCCATCTCTCTCTCCCGGGCTACCGCCCCTACCGATACCGCTGCACAAAGGTACCCATACCGCTACCCTGCCGACCTCTCCTGGGATGCGGTCTGAGCAGAATTTCGAGGAGCACCCAACCGTGGCAACGAGAGCTCTCCAGGACGTGCCTCGGTATCAGTACCTTCTTCCTTCTGATTCCCCGCCCCGCCCGCACCCCATGCCCATCCTTCCACCCCGAAGCGCCTCCCTTTGAGACCTCGGGCGCGCCCCGTCGCCTCCCCTGCTTTGTGATCGGGGCGGTCACCATCGGCGAAATCTGGGAGAGAGCCCTAGGAGGAAAAGGCACCGATACGGCCTCCCTTCCCTTGTTCCCCACATGCTTCGTGGGGTTCTGGTTTTCTTCCCTGCCGCGCCACACCCGCGACACACACCTCACTCTTCGTACAGCTCAGCTCAGCTCAGCACAGCACAGCACATCACAGCACAGCACAGCTCAGCACAGCACACAGCTCAGCTCAGCTCAGCTCAGCACACAGCACAGCTCAGCACAGCTCAGCACAGCCCAGCACGGCTCAGCTCAGCACAGCACAGCACAGCTCGTGGCACTTTCTCGACACCACAGGGGGTGCGCAGGGGTTGGTCTCTCAGCTCGGCCGCTATCCACGACACTGGCGCAAAGCCTAGCAGGCGTGGCACTCTCTCGACACCACAGGGGGTGGGCAGGGGGTGGTCTCTCAGCTCGGCCGCTATCCACGACACTGGCGCAAAGCCTAGCAGGCGTGGCACTTTCTCGACACCACAGGGGGTGCGCAGGGGGTGGTCTCTCAGCTCGGCCGCTATCCACGACACTGGCGCAAAGCCTAGCAGGCGTGGCACTTTCTCGACACCACAGGGGGTGCGCAGGGGGTGGTCTCTCACCGCGGTCCCTATCCACGACACTGGCGCAAAGCCTAGCAGGCGTGGCACTTTCTCGACACCAAAGGGGGTGGGCAGGGGGTGGTCTCTCAGCTCGGCCGCTATCCACGACACTGGCGCAAAGCCTAGCAGGCGTGGCACTTTCTCGACACCACAGGGGGTGCGCAGGGGGTGGTCTCTCAGCTCGGCCGCTATCCACGACACTGGCGCAAAGGCTAGCAGGCGTGGCACTTTCTCGACACCACAGGGGTGCGCAGGGGGTGGTCTCTCAGCTCGGCCGCTATCCACGACACTGGCGCAAAGCCTAGCAGGCGTGGCACTTTCTCGACACCACAGGGGGTGCGCAGGGGGTGGTCTCTCAGCTCGGCCGCTATCCACGACACTGGCGCAAAGGCTAGCAGGCGTGGCACTTTCGCGACACCACAGGGGGTGCGCAGGGGGTGGTCTCTCAGCTCGGCCGCTATCCACGACACTGGCGCAAAGCCTAGCAGGCGTGGCACTTTCTCGACACCACACGGGGTGCGCAGGGGGTGGTCTCTCAGCTCGGCCGCTATCCACGACACTGGCGCAAACCTAGCAAGCGTGGCACTTTCTCGACACCACAGGGGGTGCGCAGGGGGTGGTCTCTCAGCTCGGTCGCTATCCACGACACGGTCGCAAAGCCCAGCATGCGTGGCACTTTCTCGGCACCACAGGGGGTGCGCAGGGGGTGGTCTCTCAGCTCGGCCGCTATCCACGACACTGGCGCAAAGCCTAGCAGGCGTGGCACTCTCTCGACACCACAGGGGGTGCGCAGGTGGTGGTCTCCCAGCTCGGCCGCTATCCACGACACGGGCGCAAAGGCTAGCAGGCGTGGCACTTTCTCGACACCACAGGGGGGTCTCTCAGCTCGGCCGCTATCCACGACACTGGCGCAAAGCCTAGCAGGCGTGGCACTTTCTCGACACCACAGGGGGTGCGCAGGGGGTGGTCTCTCAGCTCGGCCGCTATCCACGACACTGGCGCAAAGCCTAGCAGGCGTGGCACTTTCTCGACACCACAGGGGGTGCGCAGGGGGTGGTCTCTCAGCTCGGCCGCTATCCACGACACTGGCGCAAAGCCTAGCAGGCGTGGCACTTTCTCGACACCACAGGGGGTGCGCAGGGGGTGGTCTCTCAGCTCGGCCGCTATCCACGACACTGGCGCAAAGCCTAGCAAGCGTGGCACTTTCTCGACACCACAGGGGGTGCGCAGGGGGTGGTCTCTCAGCTCGGTCGCTATCCACGACACTGTCGCAAAGCCTAGCATGCGTGGCACTTTCTCGACACCACAGGGGGTGGGCAGGGGGTGGTCTCTCAGCTCGGCCGCTATCCACGACACTGGCGCAAAGCCTAGCAGGCGTGGCACTTTCGCGACACCACAGGGGGTGCGCAGGGGGTGGTCTCTCAGCTCGGCCGCTATCCACGACACTGGCGCAAAGCCTAGCAGGCGTGGCACTTTCTCGACACCACAGGGGGTGCGCAGGGGGTGGTCTCTCAGCTCGGCCGCTATCCACGACACTGGCGCAAAGCCTAGCAGGCGTGGCACTTTCTCGACACCACAGGGGGTGCGCAGGGGGTGGTCTCTCAGCTCGGCCGCTATCCACGACACTGGCGCAAAGCCTAGCAGGCGTGGCACTTTCTCGACACCACAGGGGGTGCGCAGGGGGTGGTCTCTCAGTTCGGCCGCTATCCACGACACTGGCGCAAAGCCTAGCAGGCGTGGCACTTTCTCGACACCACAGAGCTCGGCCGCTATCCACGACACTGGCGCAAAGCCTAGCAGGCGTGGCACTTTCTCGACACCACACGAGGTGCGCAGGGGGTGGTCTCTCAGCTCGGCCGCTATCCACGACACTGGCGCAAAGCCTAGCAGGCGTGGCACTTTCTCGACACCACAGGGGGTGCGCAGGGGGTGGTCTCTCAGCTCGGCCGCTATCCACGACACTGTCGCAAAGCCTAGCAGGCGTGGCACTTTCTCGACACCACAGGGGGTGCGCAGGGGGTGGTCTCTCAGCTCGGCCGCCATCCACGACACTGGCGCAAAGCCTAGCAGGCGTGGCACTTTCTCGACACCACACGAGGTGCGCAGGGGGTGGTCTCTCAGCTCGGCCGCTATCCACGACACTGGCGCAAAGCTTTGCAGCCGTGGCACTTTCTCGACACCACAGGGGGTGCGCAGGGGGTGGTCTCTCAGCTCGGCCGCTATCCACGACACTGGCGCAAAGCCTAGCAGGCGTGGCACTTTCTCGACACCACAGGGGGTGCGCAGGGGGTGGTCTCTCAGCTCGGCCGCTATCCACGACACTGGCGCAAAGGCTAGCAGGCGTGGCACTTTCTCGACACCACAGGGGGTGCGCAGGGGGTGGTCTCTCAGCTCGGCCGCTATCCACGACACTGGCGCAAAGCCTAGCAGGGAACATTCGCGACGAGGGCCCAGAACGCAGGATTGTGCATATATATATATATATATATATATATATATATTATACATAAGCAAACACATAAGATTTAAATTAAGTATGTGGGGTTCCTCGGTAGCGTAATTTTCCTTTTTTCTGCCTCTTGGGAGGCCCTCGTCGCCACTGCTGGATTCGCCTCGCAATCCTGGTCAGAACGCACCCTCGGAGAGTTTCCGGGGAGTAGCGGTATCGGTACTTTTTTTTCGTTTCCCCAGAGCACGGCCGCCTCTCGCGGCGTCTTGCGTGGGCCTTTTGGCCTGGCAGCCGTCCGGAGCTGCTCGGGGCCTGGCGGTGATCGCAGCCGGCCCAAGCCTTCACGGCAGCGCCATCGCGAACCAGCCGAGGCCGGGCGCCAAATACCGAGCAGAGTACGATGATGGCGGCTACCGCGACGATCCCTACCCGTACGACAGCGGCCCGTACTACGACGACGAGGGGGCGTACCCCGAGGATGGAGAAGGCAGGAGCGATTGCGTGCGTTGGCGCGCGAATGCCAGCAGCCATGTGCACTGTTGGGGTCAGCGAAGGACTTGCCGTGCCCGCGGCCTCGGCGCCTGTCTCGTTGCCATCCGTGTGGCCTCCACCAACCCTGTCGCGGCGCGGCGAGCCCGCGTCAGGGAAGTAGCCACAGTTTGGCCAGGCCATGCTCTTCGGTAGGCGGGGGGGGATGGCCCGAGCACGTCCTCCTCTTCCCTTTTCTTCATCATCAAAGTTACGACCATCCTCCTCATCATCATCAGCACCCTCACCAGTCTCCTTAACCTCCTCCGACCGTCAGCATCATGGTCAGCATCAATCGTACCATCATATTCATCATCAGCATCACCGTCATCGGAACCACCAAGCCAAATCAGGTCGAGTCAAGTACGCCTTGCACCAGACGGTGCGTGAGCAGGGGTGAAGAAAACGACACGCACGAGCAGTGCAATCATAATGCCTTCAGTATCTGGTTCACGTCTTCACCACGCTCGCCCGCGCTCGAGCTTGCACCACCCTCCGGGTGTAAGTAAACAGCGAGTCGTTCGCGGGAGCCTGCGACCTTAACCATCACCGTGGTAATCACACGTTCCCCTTATCATCGTCGTCATCCTTAACAGTATCAGCATCGCCCTCGTCGTTTTCGATTTTCATTCGGTGGCCAGTTTGGACCCCAAACAGTGCAGGATTGCACTTTTGATGTGAAGGTCATGTTGCTTGAGCTGTGTTGTGTACGATTTGTGGTGTGAGCTTTTTGGTGTAAGCTGTGCTGGGTAAGCTATAATGCTTAAGCTATGTGATTTGGACAGTGTGGTGTGGATCATGTTGCATGGGGTGTGAGCTATATGGTGCGAGCAGCGCTACTGCGGTTTATGTGGTGCGATCGGCGTTGTGAAAGCTATAATTTGTAAGCTATTTGGTATAAGCTATGCTATACAAGCTAGGTGGTGTGAGCTATGTGGTGCGAGCTATGCGTTGCAAACTATGTGGTGCGAGCGGTATGGTGGTGATAGTAACGAGTGAAGAACTTGAAGTCGTCAGCTTCATTGTGCTCGCGCGAACATTCAGCCCCGCAATTTGTTTGGCAAAACCCGTTCGGCCACGATTCCTCTAGCGCATCTCTCCGTCCGCGCTAGCGCGCGCACGCCCGCGAGAAAGAGCCACCAGCTGTTCGCGATGGCGCTTACCGATGGGAACTTCCCAGCGCGTCTGAAAGGCCGCGCAGGCGCGCGGGCACTTCATTGCGGTCGATGACTTGGGCCGTGATAGTCATAACGACGTCGGCTATGGCGGCAACGGTGATGATAATAGCGGTGGTGGTGGCGATAGTGACCACGCCGACGGCAGGGCCAATCACGGCGTCGTTGTTGGCGGCGACGATGACGATGACGGTTGTGACGCGATGGCGCTGGTGAAGGTGATGGGGAAGTTGGCGCGCGCAGAAATTCCACGAATATAGTAGACTTTACGGATGAAAGGTACTTTGTTTTGTCGTTTGAGTATATGTTTTCAAAGAGTTCCCTCTTGGCACGCTTCGAGAACCAATGGCTTTCCGGAAGTATGTCGGCACGCGCGCGTGGCGGACGGCGTGTGCGGCTCGCATGGGTTAGTTTGGTACGGAATCGTGTAATGGGCACATGTTAGGTCAACGCGGATGCACCTCGCGGTTGGATGAGAATCCGAGCGAGATTGCGAACGCCGTATGGCTTCTCATGGTTTCAGCACGTGCTCTCGGGCAGAAGTATGCAAGATGTGTGTTGGCCAACAGATTATGTGTGTTCCGATTTTAGGTCGAACAACTTACAGCATTAATGGGCTCTGTCGGGCTTCGACATACGCTCGCGCGAGTGGGCTTGGCCGATCTGTGTTGCAAGGGCTTCTTCGACAATTCTAGAGACGCTTCGCGTAACCCCATCAGCCCATCCAGAAAAGATGCCCAGAGGAATTGCCTCGATCAGGGAAATGGGCAGCACAGAGGAAGGGCCCCCCAGTGGAGGCCTCTTGGAGCGTCTTGGGGGCCTCTTGGCGGTCCCGGGCGCCTCTTAGAGCGTCTTGGGTGCTTCGGAGGGCTTCTTGGGGCCTCTCTTGGGAGCCTCTTGGAGACCTCTGGGGCGCTGTCGGGGCCTCATGGGGCCTCCTGGGCGGCGCCTCTCGGGGCCCTCTTAAAGCGCTGTTGGGAGCCTTGGAAGCGCTCTTGGAGCCCTCTTGGGCCATCTTGGAGCCAGCTTGAGGCCTCGGATGGCCATCGAACGGAAAAGGCGAGAAAGCCAAAAACATTGACTTCCTAAGGTGTTGGAAGGATTTTGGCCTCTTCGGGGCCTCCTGGGGGAGCTCTTTGGCCACATGGAGCCGTCTTGGAGCGGTCTTGGGGCCTCTTGGAGCATCGTGGGAGCCATCTTGAGGCATCTTGGGGTATCTTGAGCCATCTTCAGGGTCACCTTGGGCTCTCCCAGGCGCTCTTGGAGTCATCTTAAGCAGTGCCCCCCCCCCCCCCAGGATGCCAAAATGTGGCCAAAACCCTGGCACAATCAATGATTTTGGCATAGTCGCCGAGGTCTCTTGGAGCGTCTTCGGTGCCTCTGGGGAGCCTCTTGGGGCCTCTTGGGGGTCTCTTGGGAGCCTCTTGGGGGCATCCTGGGGGCTTCTTGGGGGCCTCTTGGGGCCTCCTGGGCACCTCTTGGGGCCCTCTTGGGGCAACCTTGGGAGCCTTGGGAGCGCTCTTGGGGCCATCTCGGAGGAGACCGATCAAAGAAGGGGGGTCCCCAATTTGCGCTACCCCCCCAAGAGGCCAAAATGGTGCCAACACCCTAGGAAAAAATAATAATAATAATACAAAAACAAAGAAATGAGTTTGGCGTCCTCGCCGAGGCCGTTCTGGACGTTCCGACGACTCGCGAAACGACCCGTCCAGGTCCAGGGGAGGGGGTAGGTGGAGGGGTAGACGGGGAAGGAGGGGATGGAAGAGAAAACACCCTAAACCACCTACGCCCTAAAGGGCTTGCGGGATTTATGTTGCTTCGAGCGATCCCCACCGAACCCTTCGGCGTTTGATGCCGAAGGTGAGCGCGCTCATTGGAACGATGTGCGCGGGGCGCGGTGGTCTCGGCCAGTGTCATGCCATGTTACGTTCGGCTATGCTATGTTATGCTATGTATGTTCCGATGTGTCATAGCATGTGTTGTTGTGCTGTGATGTGCTACGCTGTGGTATGTCATGTTATGTGGTGATGTGGCATGCTCTGTTTTGGTATGCTCAGTTATGCGATGATTTGCTTTAGCATGTTTGATTTGTCATGTTATGGAAAGAAATGTGCTGCAATGCTGTGCTATGGTATGCACTGGTCTGTCATGGTGTGTTATATTACGATATGGTCTGTCATGATATGGTGTGTTATGTTTGGACGTGTAATGTTCGGTGGTGTGGTGTTATACTCTCTTCTGTGGGGGACCTGGGAATCTGGCTGCCAGAGTGGGCGAGTCGGCGCAGTGGCGGGACCACCAGGGATTATCGGGAGCCTGGGGATCTGGCGGCCGCGCTATGCAGGGGGGGGGGGGCGGGACCATCAGGGATTATCCGGAGTTTGGGGATCTGGCGGCTGCGGTATGCAGGGCGGCGGGGGTGGGGCGAGACCACCAGGGATTATCATGACCTTGGGATTTGGCGGCCGCGGTATGCAGGGCGGGCGGGCCGGGAGGCTTGTTTTTTGACAACTGACGACCTAAATTTGTCGGTTCGGGAACAAATGAGATATTCGATTGCTGAGATGAACGGTTGCTTGCATGGTATATTGTAGTGGCCTCTGTCCAGTGCCGCCGATCTGGAGTGCTACCGATTCTGCTTGCAACGCATGACCTTTTATGTTTAAAAGCAGAGCGCTCGCTCGAGACATCCTCATAAGATAGAGATGTTGTGCTCGCTTGGGCAACCTTCGGATATTCGAAAGTGACGATCTCGCGTGAGCAGCCAAACTCATGGGATGCCCCCTCCCACCTTCCGGGCCTGAATGGCGTCAGCCATGGCGTCAGCCCCCGCCTCCCCCCGACTCCCCCGTCTCGGGCGTGAATGGCGTCAGCCATGGAGTCGGCCCTCCCCCCCACCTCTCCTCTCCCGAGCCTGAATGACGTCAGCCCCCCCCTTCCCCGACAGAGTGAAGCTTGAGCGAGCTCCCCCGTCCCTCGCCCCTCCCGGGCCTGAATGGCGTCAGCCATGGCGTCAGCCCCCCCCCCTCTCCCCGACTCCTCCCTCGCGGGCCTGAATTGCGTCAGCCATGGCGTCAACCCCCCCCCTCCCCCCTCCCGGGCCTGAATATCGTCAGCTACGGCGTCAGCCGCCTCCCCCCCCCGACAGAGCGAAGCTTGAGCGAGCTCCCCCCCCTCCCCCCCCTCCCGGGTCTGAATGGCGTCAGCCATGGCGTCAGCTCCCCCCCCTCCCCCCCGACTCCCTTTTCCCGGGCCTGAATCTCCCCCCCTCCACCTCCCCCTCCTGGGCCTGAATGGCGTCAGCTACGGCGTCAGGCCCCCTCCCCCCCCGACAGAGCGAAGCTTGATTGAGCGAGCACCAGCCCCCCTTCCTTCCTCCCGGGCCTGAATGGCGTTAGCCATGGCGTCAGCCCACCCCACCCCGCCCCACCCCACCCCCCCGACATCCTCCCTCCCGGGCCTGAATGGCTTCAGCCATGGCGTTCCCCCCCCGCACCCTTTCCTTCCTCCCTCCCCCCCCCGACTTCCTCCTCCCGAGCCTGAATGGCGTCAGCCATGGCGTCAGCCCCCCCCCCCCCCCCCCTCTTCCTCCTCCTGCAAGTGTCTCCCAGACATCCCAGTTGGCTCCCTCCCTACCCGATCCGTCATCAGCCATCCCTCGGCTCAGGCTGCCGAGGGCTGGTGTTCGCGCACCCGCCTCTTCCCTGCTCTCCCCCAGCTCGCCTCCCGCTGCAGCGCGCGATGGCCCTCTCCGGCCGCGCCGACATGGAAGGCATGCTGGCGGCCGCCCGCGCCGGTGGCGCTGCCGGTGCGGCAGCGCCGGCCGCGGGCGCTGCTCGCCGGGGAGCGCAGGTCGACGGGAGCACGTTGCTCATGCACGTCGTCACGGCGCAGTACGGCGAGGCTGCATTGGCTACTGAGCTGAAGGACATCTTCCTGAAGGTGCGGCTCAGCACATTAAAACAGCTGCGCTCTCTGACTGGATTTTCGGCGTCCCTGGGGGATTTGGTTTACGAGCTCGTCCAGCACTGGCGCAATCCCAATGGTGCAGAGGCAGCGGAGTCAACGCCCCTAGGGGTTCGAGCAGCCGTCGGTCGCATCGTGAAGAAACTCTGCCCCCCCGGGGCGGCCCCGGCAATCGGGCCAGAAGGGAGCACCGCGGCACTCCCAACGCTGCTCAGGACCAGCTCCGGCTATTGCAGGCCGTGCTGACGTTGTCAAGCGAGCCGGCGCTCGCTTTGCTCGGCGAGGAGACCCAGGAAGATCTCGGCAGAGGCCGCTGGCCTTGGGGAGCCAGCTTTGCGCTGTTTCCCCACCAGCAAGCAGTTGAAGATGTGCGACGTTGCTGCGAAGCTCGGCAAACCATTGCCGCATGGGCAGAACAACGTGGAGGTTCGGAAGAGACGCGGTCGTGGACCGAGGGCCGAGTCTTCGCCGAGTGGGCCAATAGTTTCATCCAGCTTGCTTGGGGTGGCCTCCTGCACGGCCGTCTTTCGGCGGCGGCAGTTAACCACATTGACAAGGCGGCGCGACTCGCGGCCGACACAGAGCACCCAGCAACGCAGGCCGCGAAGAACGCCATAACCTATGACCACGTTGTGCGGAGAACGGCCTGGGCGGCGGCTCAGCGGAAGACGAACAAGGAAGCTTTCGAGGCCACATTGAGCGGGGACAAAGAGGACTTGGTCGCGGTGGCAGAGCGAGAGGCCAAGGATGTCCGCACGGCGCCGCGGGGGGCGGCGTCGAAGCAGCAGCGCAAACCAGACGCGGTGCACTACTGCTGGAGCACTTCCCCGGGAAGTGCGACCTGGCCGGGAGGTTGCGCACGTGCGCGTTTCACCACGAGTGCCCCTTTCTGCAGCAAGACGGCCGAGGGGTGCCTGGACGACCATCTCCGGCAGCTCGGCCTGACCGCGATCCGGATCAAGGAGAAGAGGGCGCTCGAATACAGGGCGTCCATAGGCAGCGGCAAAGGCGGGGGCCCTTCCCGGCAGCGCGGCGCCCGCGCAGACGACAGGGGCGACCGCGGCCAGGGCGAGCGGGGCCGTTCTTGTTCCAAGGGCCGCGGGGGTGGCCAGCAGCCGCCGCACCGCGGCTAAAAGTGCCCAGCTGCGGCGCCCCCCGCGCCCGCAGCACGCGGGGGCGCAGCGGCAGTTGGGAAGCCCGGCCCGGCCCCCGCTGCCTTGTGCTCCAGCCCCCCCGGCCAGCCAGTCACCCGCGCTCGCTCCCGCTCCAGGAGGCGCGACGGCGGCGCCGCAGCCGGGCCGCGCCAGGAGCGCCCAGTTGCGGAAGCCCCTGTGGAGCTAGAGTGCAAGGGTTCAGGGGGACCAGACGTGTCGGCAGCGCACGCAGCAACGATCGCTTGGGCGCAGCGGGCCGAGTTCGCGCTGCCCGAGCCTGGGTGCAAGCGGGAGGCCTCCCTCCGCGACGCCATCGCGCTGCGGCGCAAGCTCGGCGCGGGTCTCCACCGCTTCCAGGAGCAGCAGTGGGCGAAGTTGGTCAGCTGGCAGCGCCACTTCGTCCGCTCGTGCGAGCAGGAGCGCTGGGCGCGATCTTTGCCCGACTCCGTCAGGCAGATCTGTGGCCACCTGCACGGGCCGCTGCTCCGGGCCGCTTTGGCTGCCGCTCGCCATGACGACGCCACCGTCATAAAAAGATATCCGCCCTGGGTTCGCTTATGGAAAACAGAGGCCGGGTCTGGGAGGTGCGAGGCAGGGGGCGAACCCATGGTGGCGTTCCCCCCCCTCCTCTCCCGGGCCTGAATGGCGTCAGCCCCCCCCCCTTCCTCCCTCCCGTGCCTGAATGGCGTCAGCCCCCCCCCCCCCCCGACAGAGCGACCCCCCCTCCTCCCTCCCGAGCCTGAATGGCGACAGCCCCCTCCTCCTTCCTCCCGGGCCTGAATGGCGTCAGCCGCTTCCCCCCGACAGAGCGACCCCCCCCCCCCCCCCTCCCGGGCCTGAATGCGTCAGCCCCCCCCCCCCCCCCCCCCCCTTCATTCCCATGGCGTTTCCCCCCCCCGTCTCCTCCCTTCCTTCCCGGGCGCCTGAATGGCGTGTGCCCCCTCCCCCTCCTCCTTTCCGGGCCTGAATATCGTCAGCCCCCTCCCCCCCCCCCGACAGAGCGAAGCTCCCCCCCCTCCTTCCCGGGCTTGCATGACGTCAGCCACCCTGGCCCCCCCCCCCCCCCGACAGCGCGAAGCTCCCTCCCCCTCCTCCCTCCAGACCTGAATGGCGTCAGCCTTCCCCCCCCCTCCTCCCACCCGGGCCTGAATGGCGTCAGCCCCATCTCCCCCTCCTCCCTCCCGGGAATGGCGTCGGCCCTTTCCCCTTTCCCCCCCTCCGACAGAGCGAAGCTCGAGCGAGCTCAAGCCCACGTTGTCAGAAACTCACACGCCAGATCGGCGGATTTGACAAGGATGAGAGTTGCCCGTGCTGGCCTGGCTTGGATGGCTTGAACTCGTAGGAAAAATAATCGATGAGGCATGATATGATGTACGTTGTCTTATGCCACGGGGTACCATTTACGGCTAGGTTCGGGAGGGTGATGGGGTCTATGCTTCTTCAGAATGAATCGATGCTGCGCAAGGTATGTAGTGTAAACACACGGGGCGCCCACGCGACGAGGCTCCCATGGTCTGGCGCCAGGCGAGACGTCGGGAAATCCACCCGGAATCGGTGCGCCCACGAGGCGCCCACCGGCGGGCACCAGGCGACACTTCGGGAAACCCACCAAGCGCGGTGCGCCCACGAGGCGCCCACAGGCGTCCACCGAACGGGCACCAGCTGAAAACCCAGGAAACCGATCCAGTTCCATTCGTACAAAATAGGCACCGCTAAGTGCAAACACGGCTTGAATATTTCTCTTTATTCTGATGTTTCTCGTCCTTCTTTTCCTCTCTGCCTTTCCTCCCTTCCCTTGTCTCCCCCATGTCAAGTCCCCCTGGCCGCTGCACGTACAACTGCGTTCGGCCCATTCTTCCACCGAGCTTGGGTGGTGAAGAGGAGGCCTCGGAGAGATCTCTTAGTGTCTCTTGGAGGCCTACTAGGGGCTTCGTGGGCGCTTCTGAGGAGCCTCAAGCGCTTTAGGTTGCCCGGGGTTTTGGCTTGGTCGGGAACGGGCTCGCGGAGCGAATGGGAGGCGCGGGGAGGGGAGAGGGCTTGTTCCCGCACGCTGCCGTTTTGGACCAAGCCGGGCGCCCAACGCTCGCGGAGGGGGGGGGGGGGCGTGTCGTTTTTTTCTCCACGCTGCCTGCGTGTGGGTCCAAGCGTGCGCGCGCAACCAGGCCCGCAGCCGGGACAAGCTTCGGGGAAAACCTGTCCATGGGCACCCTGAACCCGAGGGGCTGACGCGCGTGATTGCCCCCCCCCCACCCCCACACCCCGTGCGCGTCCTCCGTTGGTTGCTGCGGGCCTGCCATCGGTTTCGTGGGGTATCTTGGGTATGGACTCTCAGAGCCTCTTCGAATTGCCCCTCTCGGGCCTCTCTTGGGGCCCCACTGGGGGGCCCTCTTGGGCAGGTCGTGAGGGCATGTTGGGCCGTCTTGGAAGCTCTTCAGGCCGAAGAAAGCGAGTACGCCACAAACCTAGCAAACTGACCATCTCGTGTTCAACTTGTTCGTGCCTCTTGGGCCGGCACCCGCGGTCTCCAATATGGCCTGACTGACAGACACCCTAGGGCCCTATAGAGCCCCAAGACCAGCCTTTTGGGCCATGTTAGAGGATGTTGTAAGCCGGGATTCTCAACAACGCGTCGAGGGACACGGGAACGGCTCAAGCTCAGGAAGCGCCCAGAACTCGGCTGGCTCGGAGTTTGAAGCAGTATTTACGAGATCCCACACTGAGGCCTCTTAATGACCTGAAGAAGCTTCACTCAGTTCCTACGACACTGCGGCGGAGAGTCATTCAGGGCCAAGCCTGTACCACTGAGTATCTAGTTGGTTCGTGCCCCCCCTCGAATTTCAGAAACAATGCGGGGAGGCCTGTGGGTCGTTGGGTTTGACTGGGGTTGGCGTGGCACATGTAGAGTTCAAACTCGTTGAACGGGAGCCCCTCACGTTGCAGTAGATGCAATTCCAGTTCGGCATGCTTTGTAGGGAAAAGAGGGGATCGAGAAGAACGAGGAGTGTCACGTTGCGCTTGCATCAGGAGAACACTTTTGAGTGGCAAGGCGTGCTGCTCATGTTTTACACGGTTCGACATGGGATCTGCGCATCTATGTAGCCACACCATTCTTGTTCAGTCATGTTGCCGATGTTCGCGCTGGATTCTTCCCGCGATCAGCCGCGTGCCATCGGTCCTGGGTATCTTTATGTGGGGGTTGAGCGCTCAGGCAAGCGTCAAAAAGAAGCAGAAGTTACTGTCGACACCACTGATGAGCAGCCTGATGATACAAAGTCTGAGAATACTGAGGGCTTAAGCTTGGATGACTTGATGGAAGCGTGGACTAACCAGCCTTACCCGCTCTTCTGCATCATTTGGTGCCCCGGGAGGGTAACGAAACCACGGGGTACGCTGGGAAGTCCGTCTAAGACATTGTTCGTCGTGTACTGCTTCAGGGAAAGGTGCCTAACTCCCCTGCTATAGTTCAGTGTGCGTCGTTCGCTGGTCCGCTCTCTGTTCTGGAGTACGTTTCCGAACCATGTGCTGCGATATTGTCGGCGCTCTCCTGTGAGCAACGACGGGCTGTCCACTCCAGTGCAGCCCCCAACGGTCACCGCGCTGAGGGGGGTAGGGGGAGGGGGGCAGTTTTATTGGAAGCACCACTGCTTCGTAGAAGGCGCGGGCCTTTTCTACAGATTAAGGCCGGCGCCTTCTAAGAAGCGGCCTCCTTCTACGAAACGTTACCCCCATCCTCTACGCCGCTGTGTGCGCCGTCAACCCGTGCAGCCTCCAACAGAGCGTTTTCGATGAGCAGAGGTCTCAGCGTGGCGGCAATAGGGTGGCAGCGAGGGAGCAGCGCCCGGAATCTCTCGTTCACTTTCCATGAAAGGGCAAGGGCTTGCGAGGGAGTGCGGGGCTCGGCGCAGATGGGACAGCGTGGCCACATGGGGATTGGGAGGAGGAGCAGGAGGACGGAGGAGGAGGATGAGGATAAGGAGGAGGACAGAGAGGCGAAGGAGGTTTGCCCCAGGTGTTTGCTCGTGTTCCTCCTGTGGCTAGTCTACTCTGTTAAAGAGGGCACGCAGATCGCCGGCTTCGAGTCGATCTGGCCAGGGGAGATCTTTGGGGCAGGGTGACTGGAGAGGTGGAGGAGGGTGGTATCGCGAAGCAGTGAAGTAGTCTTGCCCGGACGCCTTGCCTTCCTCATCCTCGCGGTGCCGCGCCTGGCGTTTCTCCACAAGGTGCGGATCCGGAACACCCCACGCACCTGGCATCCTCGGGCCCTATCCTTCTCCTCTCCCCCCTCCCCATCTTCTCTCCTCCACTTTCGTCTCCCTCCCTCCCTCTTCTCCTTCCGCCCCTCTAGCCTCTCCCTTCCTCCTCCTGCACATCGCCGCGTCCGGACCGAGTCCGACTTCCGACCTTAGCGCAAGGAGCCCATGTTCAGGAATTGGACGAGGAGGAGGGGAGGAGGGGAACGAGGATGGTTGGCAGCTGCACTTGACGCCCCTGCATGACATTGCGCGTAAAGTATGGGCATGGGAATCCATTGCATAGCATTGCACACCACACTACTGCATTGCACTGCATGGCAGTGAGTGCAATCGTATGCGAATGCCATGAACATGGTTTTGCACAGCCGAGCATGGCATCTATGCATATATATATATATATACATGCGCAGAATTTAGCATACCACCTCAACACACGTCATAGCATCGCACTGTGCAACTCGGCACATCAACATGTCCGCGCTAGGAATGGCGTTGTTGCCCGTAAGGAGCAGCGCATTGCATTGCATTCTTCGGCGAAACATTTCAGTACAGTATGACATGCCATAGCATGGCATTCAATTGCATACTGTAGCCTGGAGGCAATACTGGCTCAAAGACCTGGTTTGGGCAATGTTGATCGTCTTCGAGGCGCCTTGGGACAGTCTTGGAGACCATGTTCGGCCGCTTTTGCCATCTGGGCCATCGGGAAACGCGCGTGCCTTCTACGTAATATTGACGTTGTTGAATGTTGTTGTGGAGCTCTTCGATCTCATTCGCTTCTCGATCATGTAAAGCATGTTTGTCAACGCAAAGGGAGAGCGCCCGAGACATCCTCCAAACATGATCTTCGGAGTGCTCTTGAGAAGCGTAAGGTCGAGAGTGCTCTGCCTTTCCTTTCGATCTGTCGCCGCTGAATCCGCTCACGCTTCAGCGCGCTGAGGCCCCGCGGCACCTGAATGGTGGCGGGGCTCTGCGCGGCTCTGGCGGCGGCGGGCCCCGGCGGGCTGCGCGAGCTGGCGCGCGGGGCCGTGGCGGAGACGGCACGGGTGGCAATCTCGGGGCCCCAGGGCTGTCCGCCCTGCCCCGACTGCCGCCCCGCGCCCTGCTCGCCGTGCCTGGGCTGCCCGCCCTCCCCGCCCTGCCCAGCGTGGGACTGCCTGGAAGCAGGCCCACCATGGGCCGTGGCGGCGAGCCGGGAGAAGGTTGCGGGCGCGGCCGAGGTGCCTTGGCTCTGGATCCCGGCGGTGTTGCTGACCATCGCCGCCGGCCGCTCTGGAGCGTGGCCGGCGAGCCGTCTCCGGCGGCGCGGGCGTCTTGGGACCATGTCGACTTACGAGGAAAGACGGCCCGGGGCGCGGCAGGTGGTGCGTTTCGCAGGCGATCAGTGGACGCATGAGCTGATCCTCCTCTGGCCGGTGCATCGCGATTGTCGCCACGAGTGCTGGGTGATCGAGACGCCCGACGGCGACCGCTATGTGGATCGGAACGCGGACTGGTGGTGGCACGTGTCGTTGCCGCGCGGCTGGCCCGAGGGCTTTGTTGGCAACGCGGTGCGCTTCCGCGCCGAGGTGGGTCGCGAGGCCCTGCGCCAGATGGTGCTGGAGGGCAGGGACCTGGCGCGGGAGGAGCGCCGTCGTCGCCGCCTCCCGCTCGAGCTGGGCGCGCAATGTGGCGAGGATCCGACGACGATGGTGGATTGGCATGGCGATGAGTGTGGGCTGGACACGGGCGTGCTGGAAGCGGCTCGCCGAATTCGGCGAGCCGCCTCGTAGCCGTAAGGCGGCTCGCCTTAAGGCTACGCGGGAAGCGCCCTCTGAGGGACGGCGCTCACGTGCCAGAGGCCCGGCCCTGGCCGACGGCCCGCTGGAGGATGCCGAGAGCGTGCTGCTGGTGGCGGAGCTCGAGCGAGACAGACGTCGCGGTGGGCCCGAAGGTGATCGGCCGCCGCGCCGACGGTCGCCCCGTGCTGTGCGAGCGGGCGGCGATCTCGGACATGGAGTCGTGGTGGGCTCAGGTGTTCGAGAACTCTCGGCGGGTGGCCGCACCCTTGCCGCTGAGCCTCCACCCGCTGGAGGATGCCGAGAGCGTGCTGCTGGTGGCGGAGCTCGAGCGAGACAGACGTCGCGGTGGGCCCGAAGGTGATCGGCCGCCGCGCCGACGGTCGCCCCGTGCTGTGCGAGCGGGCGGCGATCTCGGACATGGAGTCGTGGTGGGCTCAGGTGTTCGAGAACTCTCGGCGGGTGGCCGCACCCTTGCCGCTGAGCCTCCACCCGCGGCCGACGACTGGACCTGCGCGACGCTCCGCGGGGCCCCCCAGCGAGGCTGGAGGCACCAGTACGCCGCGCGAGGAGCGCGTCGGGCAGCAGGCCGAGGACGCTAGGACCTTGGCCGTGGAGTGGAACGAGCAGGGTACCCGCTTCAAGAAGTGGCGCCGAGCGATCGGTGAGAGCAGTGAGGAGGCGCTGGGCGGTCGCGAGCTGCGCGGGGCTGGGGCGGCCTTGAACCTGAGCCAGCGGTTCACGCAGCACGGTGGCGCCCCCAAGACGTGGATGTCGAACTTCCGTCGTGAGTGCGGCGTTGGCAAGCGGAATCGCACCTGGCGCGAGCTGAACTGCCTGGTCACCATCTTCTGGCTGGCTGGCACCTTCGACGCGCTGAACCTCGGAGGCTCGGCCTGCCTGGAGGTGGCGGCGCGTCGGATCGCCCGGGCCACCGAGGCCCATCGCGTCGCCCCGGGGCAGCCCGTGGCTTGGGAGGCGGGGAGCTTCTTGACGGGCACCAGCGACCCCTGCGACGTGGCGTCGCCCGAGCTGCGGGACTTCGCGAACCGCGCTGCTCGGGGCGAGGCCGATCGCTTGGCGGCGCCGGGCAGGGGCCGGACGCTGGCGGCCGGTGGTCGCGGCGCTGGCGGCAGCGGCGATGCGGCATGCGCGCTGGATGCGGGAGGTCTCCCCCGTGCTGGCACTGAGGATGGCGGAGGCAGAGGCGGCGGCGGCGTTCGCGGTCGCGGGCGGAAGATCCAGCCCGGCGACGCCGCAGCCGCCGCCCCGTCGAAATGACGGGCGCGGAGCCGGGGGCGAGGCCGCCCCCAGGCCTTGAAGCAGAGGCCGCGCGCGGCGGGCAGATCTCCCCTCTGCCGCCCTTGCGCGGGCTGGGCGCCGACCACGCTGCCTCGCCCGGTCACCGAGGTCGAGCGCGCGCGGCGGATGGCCAGCGAGGGCCTGGCTGCTCTGAATTGCATGGCGCTGAGAGACGGCGGCCCGGCGCGGCGCCCAGCAGGGCCACGCGCTGCCGCGCGGCGGAGCGGCAGCGCGCGACGCAGCGGCGGGCGCAGGTTCTGGCGGGGAGCTGGGGCGCACCCGCCAGCGCGGATGATTCGCAGCAGCGTCTGGCGTGACTGCTGCGGGGCCGAGGCGGATGCGCCCCGCTGGTCCACGCGACGCTGATTCCCTTCTCCCACGCCCGGCTGTCGGGCCCGGGGAACCCAGAGGGGTCGCCGCGCGTCGCGGGCGCGCTGCCGCAGGCGGCGCGGATTCAGTTGAAGGATTTTGAGTGCCTCGCTTCAGGAGTTGGACGGAATCAACGCACGGTGCGGACCAGTTCGACAGTATATGGACCCTGCATTGAGCCACAAGCGCCCCGCCCACATCGGCCTGGTCAAGAGGTTGTTGAAGACCGCTTCGCCAAGAAGAAGGGTAACCGACAGCAGCTGATCCGGGACTGCCGCCCGGCGAATCGCCTGTTCAGGGGCCCGCCGGGGGTCGACCTTGACGGCGGTGGCGGCCTCGGCCGCGTCGGGAGGTTGGCGACGAGTGGCCCAGATCGAGGATCTGGGCGTCGTCTCGGGCGGCCTGGACACCTGGCTCGGCGTGGGCGACGTGAAGGATTGCTTCCGCAGGCTGCTCCTGGACGATGGGCCAGGGCTCCAGGAGTTCTTCGGCGACCCGCCGCTGCGCGCTGCTGAGCTTGGCCTCGCCCCGCACTTCGCCCAGTCGACCAGCGCGCGCAGCGTGGCGCTTTTGCGCGAGTTGGAGGGCGCCCTGCCCATGACGGACCGCGGGCCGCCGCCGATGCTGGATCACGTATACGTGGACAGCGCCGGGGCGCGTGGAGGCTCGGAGGACCAGGCGAGGACGGCGCTCGAGGCGGCCACCGAGTCTTTCGGGAAGGCGGGGCTGCAGGCGCACGAGACCGCGCTGACGAACGACGGCGGGCGGGCCCTGGGCGTGCAGCTCAACGGCCACGACGGCTGCGCGCGCCCCGCGCCTTCCAGGTTATGGCGAGCGCGACGCGCGGTGCAGGCGCTGCTGCGGCGCCGCAAGGTGAGCGGCGTGAAGCTGGAGATCGTGGCAAGCCATCTCACGTTTCTGGGGCTGGTGCGCCGCGAGAGCTTGAGCTGCTTCAATTGCATATACCGCTTCATCCAACGTCGCTACGAGAGGGCCGCGCCGTGGCACAGCGCGGTCGAGGAGATGCAGGCCTTCGCGGGGCTGACGATCTTTATCCACGCTGACTGGGATGCCAAGTGGCGTCCTGGAATGAATGAGCGAGTCCGACGCGTTCCTCGACGGTTTCGGTTTGGCCTACTCGTTGCGGGATCCTCGCGACGTCGGCCGAGTTGGCCGCGTGTGCGAGCGGCCCCGCAACCGCCTGGGGGCAGGGGCCGCGCGACGGCGCGCCGTGGAGGCCGCGGGCCTGAAGCTGCTCGCGGACGGCGGCGGCGCGGCGGCGGAGGCCCATGCCCGCGGGATCCCCGGGGAGGAGGTAGCGCGCAGGGGCCGGGGCCCCACGTTCGAGGAGGTGCCGGCGGAGCTGCTGCATGCCGGTCGCTGGCGGACGGTCTTGGCCGATCGGTGGGCTTTCGAGGAGGGGGTCCTCCACCTCGAGGGCCGAGCGCTGGTCGAGGCCGTGGAGCTCGCGGCAAGTTCGCGCTCTGGCCACGACGGCCGAGCCGAGCCCGTCTGCTGGGAGACAACATGGCAGTGGTCCTCGCCTTCTCGCGGTCGCGGGCCCGGGACTTCAAGCTGCTGGCGATGATTCGGCGCGCGGCGGCCTGCTCGTTCGGTCGAGGGCTCAGGTTCATTTATAGGTGGATCCCCTCGGAGTTCAAAAGCAGCGACGAGGGGGCATATTGTCGGCGAAGGAGTACGAGTCGGCGAAATGTATCACCCACCTGCTGCTTCGAGATAAGTTGATGAGAGAGATCGGAGAGGGCCCCAGATGGCCCTGATGTCAGCAGCCCGCCCGCGGCCCCAGCGGTCCACCTTCCGGAGCCGCGGGGGGCGGCAGCCCAGAGACCGCGGCCGCATGCCGGGCCGCTGGCGAGGAGGCGCCTGCCGGGCACCTTGCCCCCGCGGGGCCAGGCGAGCCTGGCGCGGGCGCTGGCCCGGCCGCTGGCGTCGCTGAAGTCGGTGGCCAGATCGGACCTGCCGCCTCCTGCGAGCCGGAGCCCACGGCGAGCGCGGACGCTCAGCAGCAGCGCCCGCGGTGGGTTGGCCCGGCGAGCGAGCGCGGGCGCCGTGCCGGCGCCGACGGGGCTGGATCACGCCCCGCAGACGCAGCGGGGCCAGGCCGCGGCGAGGCCCTTGGGCAGCGCCAAGGCAGCGGGCGCGACCGCCGCTGCCGCCGAGGACGTCAGCGAGAGCAGCTGCGAGGAGGAGCTGCCCGGCCGCCCCTCCGCGCGCGCCGACGCCCGCCGGGCCGCGGCGCGGGCGCGGCGGATGGCCGCGGAGGAGCTGCCGCTGGGTCAGACGTATTTATAGGCGCACAGCGAAAAGGCGGCCACCCGCGCGCGCTACCAGATACACGCGGACGCACTGATGATGTTCGCGGCCCAGCACAAGGCGCCGCTCGCCAAGGATGCCGAGGTTGACGACTGCATCGCGAAGTGGATGAACGCGGAGTTCAGCGCGGGCCGCCGCGAATGGCGCGGGGAGAGCATGCTGGCCGCTGCGACGTGTACCTTCCCTGGTTTCAGTCGCAACGGCAGTCGGGAGCTCCCACGAGTCTTCCGATGCCTCCCTGGCTGGCGCATCCTGAGCCCGCCGATGAGCCGCGCGCCTCTGCCCTGGCCCACGCGGGCGGCGCCGGCGCCGCAGCTGGTGCGGCGCGGCCACGAGCTGGCAGCGATCGCGGTGTTCGTGATCGTGGAGGCGCACCTGCAGCCCTCGGAGCTGCTGTCGCTGACGCGCCGCTCGCTGCTGCCGCCTGCCAGCGGCGGCTTGAGCAAGCGGAGCCTGCTGCTACTCCCGAGTGCCAGGGGTATCACTCGCAGCAAGACGGGCGAAGCGGGCGACACCGTGGTGATGGACTCCGTGCGCACGCCCTGGCTCAGCTACCTGTTCAGCCGTCGAAGTGTCGGGCCGGAGGACGAGCGGATCTTCTTTGGGAGCGCAGTCAGTTCTATCCGGTGTTCGTGCAGGCTGCGGCTGCCCTCGGTTTCAAGATGGCGCCGTATCAGGGTCGGCGCAGCGGGGTTTCCATCGATCGGGCTCATCGAGAAAGGAGCGTGGACGAGCGCATGAAGAGGGGCCGTTGGGAGGCCACCAAGAGCGTCGCCGGGTGCGAGAAGGCGGCCGCCTGAACGATGCGTGGCAGGAGCTGACAGCCAGCCAGCAGGAGCACGCCCTCGACTGCGAGCGCCAGCTCGAGGAGTGCCTCGCGCGTTGGCGCTGGCTGCCGGCCCCTCCGCTGCGCCCGCGGCCGCGCGCCTGGCCGAGCTGTTCAGTGGAGCGGGCCGAGCGGCGGCGGCGGCGCGGCGAGCTGGCTACGCCTCGCGGGAGTGGGGCGCGACGGCAGCGCCGGCAGGCGACCTCTGTCGGAAGTGCGTAGAAGCAGACGCGTCGTGGCCAAGTGTTCGGAATCATGATAGCTCCGCCGTGCACGTCCTTGTAAATTGTTCAGAACGTGAATAGTCCTTTGAGGAGCACTCAGTCCCCGAGAGGTTCAAAGTGGTTTCCTGAGATCCAGTGTGAGCAGGTTCGTCTCGGAAATGCCTGTCTGGATTTTCGTTTGCGGACAATTCGTTTTTGTAACAGTTTGGGGATCCCGTTTGTATAGGGCACCCGCGCAGCAGTTACGTTTGGCACGATCCCGTCCTTGCGAGTTTGCTTCGGCATCCCTCGTGTAGAACAGTAGTAGTGAACCACTGTGCCTTCGGGGCGCCCCACCGGAAGGCGACCATTTTAGTCTTCGTTGGCTCGGAGGTCGACCTTGGGTTTCTCGGGCGTCCCGGGTCCCGTTGCGCAGGACGGCGTGGATGTTGTTTTTCCTCGGGGAAGAAGCATCTAATTCTGGAAGGGAGGAATGCGCGCGAGGCTTCGGCTTACCCTCCCAAGTTGGCAAGTGTTTGGGCTCGGGATGTGTTGCCACCTGAATGGAGCGAACGTCAATTCGATTCGACGGCCTTCCTAATCTGCGTGCCTGCTGGCACTCCGCCCCCCGTGGCTGTGAACTACGGCTGGGGGCCTCCAGTTTTGGGTTTTTTGGGGGGCAGGCTCTGCATGACAATGTGTGTATCGTTCGGCCTCGCTTCAGGCCCCTTCAAGCCTATCAGTGGCCGGTCTCTGGGCCTCGCTTGCAACGGAAGTTTTTTGCCGCCGAGAAAAGAACAGAAGAGCATGTATGTGGGGACCACGAGAATGCTTTGCGTTTCCATTCGATCTGTCGCCGCCGAATCCGCTCAGGCTCCTACCCACGCCTCCCATAACTAACTGTTGACGGGGACTTTGTGGAGCTGACTCTGCATTCGAATGTGTGTATCGCTCGGCCTCGCTTCCGGCCGCTTTAAGTCTATCTGTGGCCAGTCTCAGGGCCTCGCTTGCAACAGAAGCTATTCGCCGCCGAAAAGGAGAAGCGAAAAGCAAACCTTGTGTAGCTTATGATTATGTTTTAACTGGTCTTTCGGGGGCAAACTATAGAACGCGATGTTGTGTTGCATTGTGGTTGTCTTCGGTCGAGCGTCTGGTAGATGCGTCCTTCTTTTCGCCTCCACATTCAATCTCATTCCCGCTCGTCCAAATTCCTACTCACATGTCCTACGTCATCTCCACCCGTCCCCGTTCCTTCCCATTCCACTCCGCTGTTCCACTGCCCCCACTGCGTCGCACTTCTCAAAGCTTCCAAGGGGCAGGACAGGAAGCGGGGACGGGCATAGGGGAAATGAGAGGATAGGCGAGGAGAGTGGTGGACAGGGAAAACAGAGGACAGAGGATAGAAACATAGGAGGCACATAACAGAGACCAGGAGGCAGGGGATAGACGATAGACAACAGGGGGCAGGAGTGGAGAGAGGAGAGGAAACATGAGACGAGAGAGAGAGAGAGAGCTATATATATAGAGAGAGAGAGAGAACAGGAGAGAGGACAGCAGAGGAAAGGAGCGAGGATGAGAAGAAGCAAGAGGAGGATATCCTGAACGTGGAGAGAGGAAACAGAGGAGAAATCTGACCCATGCCCAGGCCCTGGGCCGGCAGAACAGCTCGATCGCGATACATGTCGTTTTTTTGTTTGACCATGATTCCTACCAGGAAAGACGAGAGGAGATAATGGAAAGGAGAGGGGAGAGCACAGCAAACGAAATAACAGAGGAAGCAGGAAAACATAACACATTGACCTTTGAAAGAGGGCCCACAGGAGAATCTTAACCCTGTCTCATGCCCTTGGCCGGCCCAGGGCGCTGCTGGCCTCGGACAATCGGGCCGCGATCCAGCCGCGATCCAGTTGTTTGTTGGATCGTGATGCCGTTTTCTTCCACCTGCCCATTGGCCTGTTACCTTACCTCTGCCTTGAGGCCGCGGCCAGGGGCTGGTCGCTATCCCTGCACTCGTCCAGGCCAGTCTAGCTTCGTGCCGTCCTGTCCTTCCGCGCAGGAGGAGGAGGTGAAGGAAGGAGGGAACAGGGATGGAGGGACCAGTGAGGGAGGAGAGAGGGAGGACACAGTGAGAGAGGAGGAACGTGAAGAAGATCTTTAGATGCCTCCAGACACCTCCATCGTCGATCTTTCTCCTCGTGCTCCCCGTCCCTCCGAGCCGACGGGGACCTCCGGCCGAGGAGACAACCCTGTCGCTGTACAGCGAGTGCAAGGATTACCGCTCCCAGATCTGGCGGTGGTGGTGGCTCCCCCAGCCCAGAGCCCCTGTCCAGACTGCCTGGGCGACTAGAGACCAGTTCCTCACTCTCGCCTGCTTCGCATGGCACCGCCGCCCCATTTCGGCACACCCCTCACACGTTTCGTGGCCCCATAGGGAGCTCCACATGAGGCTCCAATGGGAAAGTTCGCATGGCACAGCCGCTCTATTTCGGCACACCCCTCACACGTTTCGCGGTCCCATAGGGAGCTCCACGGAAGGCCCCAATGGCGACGTTCGCATGCGTCCGTCCGACTCATGTCGGCACACCTTTCACACGTTTCGTGGCGGAAGGCTATACCGCCTGCGCTGCTCGGAGTTTGCACGCCCCCTCCTTCGTCTCATCTCCCTCACGGTACTCGCAGCTGCAGATGGTTCGGTCCTTCGTCAGGCTGATTTTTCAAGACGGGATCCCCGGAAGTCCTGACCCTTTTTCCTAGCGCCGTTCCTTTCCTACCGGCCCCAGGCCGCTTTCCATCCCGAGCCGGTGTTGCAGCCTTCCCGCCGCGATGCCCGTTGCAACGCGAGCACGTCTGGGCACTCCTCCAGGAGCCCATCTGGGCAAGTCGCGACGTCCGGGGCATGGGGACGGTGGGCGCCCGCCGTGCAAGCGCGGCTCGGGCTCCGCTCTGCCCTGCAGCGGCCGTGAAGCCTCCTCGTAGTCGTGCTGCCGTCGTTGCCAGGCGCTGGCGCGAAGAAAGTGCAGTGCGGGTAAGACTTGCAGTGCATGTCTACTGCAGCTTGGAGTGTCGGGTTCCCTTCCCGAGAAGCCCGAGGCGGACTGGATATGGACAACCATCTGGCCGCTAGAGGATCGTTTTTTTATCCATATCCAGTGCGCCTCGGCCTTGTGACGCCCCTTCCATCAAAATCCAAGACGCACTGGATATGGATATGAACATTGCCCGAATGCAGGACACCAGACTTCGCGGGCACGTCTGCAGATCGCGTGCTCTTCGGAGACGAAGACAAACAATTGCATGGACATGAACTTTCGGAGCTCCGCGCGAATTTCGGCATCGGCGCTGGAGCCCCCTGGCCGCGCCTCTGGCGCCGCACCTGGCGCGCTGAGCGCGCCAGGCACGGGGGTCCAGCGCCGATCCAAGAACTTCGTGCGGACCTCCGAAAGTTGATGGCTTGACTTTTGTTGGCTACTCTAAGAACGCGTGCGATTCGCTTGGAAGGCGCATCGGGCATTCGCAATAACGGATTCACTAATGGATCCACACATAGTGTCCTCGCGAAGTGTGAATGACGGTCGTCTTTCGTCGCCGTGTGGAGCCATACGTGCGTTCATTTCTGAAGTTGCCTGGACCATCATCGGATCCACTTAGCAGACGCTTCCTCTCTGCATGTGGTGGATATGGCTGGCCATGGCAAGAATGGGGTATTCAGAATCAGGGGCACAGCGCGAGGCAAGCAGGGGCAGCAACCATTAGACGATGCAGTGCGCAGGCGGCCTGCGATTGTATCACTTGCGCAGCGTCCTGCCTATTAGCATCGGCCCATAAAGGCCTCGGCGGTGAGAGTTCGAACATCAGGATCTGGCCAGTTCATCCCCCCCTCCTTCCTGCATCCTCTGCCTCCTCCTCCTCCTCCTCCTCCTTGCTCCTGTTAGTCCTTTCCCGGCTCTCCTCCAGCATAGTTGTCCTCGTCTTGGTCCTCTTCCTCTTCCTCCTCCTCCTCCTTCTCTTCCTCCAGCTCCTCCTCCTCCTCCTCCTTCTCATGATTATCCTGGTCCTCATCCTCCGCCTCTTCGGGAATCCAGGTCCTACCAGTTCACCCACACCAGCTTCACACATGTGTTCACCAACGTACTCCTCGTGCTTGTCCTTGGTATCCAGCTGGAGGGTTACCACGGCACCCTGCACCTGTGGACCTTCTTCCAGACCGGTGTCTTTGGAGGCATGATGGAAGAATGAGTCAGGAGGAGGGAGGGTGGTGAGATTGCTCGGCGTTTGTCGCTTCGTACATCCTAACGTAGTCGCTATTGTCATGTTACAACATCGGCCCTTTGAATGGGGCTCTTTCTCTGAAACTGGTGGCCCACTGCTCGAAGACCGTACGCGGGATGTCCAGACGATGTCCCTGCAGCCCGATATCGAAAGGTGTTTGGCAAGGAGCAGACACGCATTCCTCGTGCCCCCCTCGAGTTGTAAAACAATGCGGCGGACGTTATTATTTGTTGCTCAGTGTTCTGCTTCCGCGGGCCGTTACCAGGCCCCAGAATTGTTAAACACGGCTCAGGATGAAAAGACGTCCCTGGGGGAAAGTGCCGCCCCAGGTGTTGAGAGAAGCGTCGGGGGCTTGGGTTTTCAGAGGCGGGCGCAGGGAAGTATAAAGACAAAACAAGGTGTATTCCCCAGACCTCTTGGACGCGTGCTGGTCAGGGATCCTAGTTAGGCGGGTGCAACCGTGGCGTGAGCCCCCCCGGGGGAGCCCAAGAAGGCGCACAAGGTGAGGGGCATCCGCCTCGGTATTTATGTCCATCTCTCCTTGCACGCATGACTGTCAGAGGTTTCTGGACGCTCCGACGCGACTGTGTCCGGACAGCGCGTGCAGATCTCTTGATCTTTGAGGGCGTCCCGCCATACGCCAAGCGTCAAGAGCCCGTCGCCGGTGGCGACGGCCTCGCCCGGGTGTTGCTAGAAGTGGCACTGGGCCACGGTGGTCCCAGCTTTTCCGGGGAGGACCCCACGCACCCCTCATGAGGTCCAGAGGGCCCCAGAAGTTGCAAAATGGCGAGAGAAGTTGAGAACACCTGAGGCCAGGAACACCTTGAAACGTAAGATTCGGGTTTGCCGGAACTCGGGTTCGCCGCCGCTTGTTGACGGGCCCGTCGTGCTTTGACCGTCCAGTGTTCGTTGGATGTTTGCAGCGGGCGCTCGCGTCAAATTTCAGATTGGGTCCCGCCTTTTTCCGGACGGCCCCGTCAGGACGTCGAGTGGTACGAGTCTGGCGCCCCCCTTGCCGTAGCACCCCCCAACTTGCCTCGGAGGTGCCATGTGCTACCTCATCACTGACTCCCACACGAGGACGGCTGCCCCCGGGGGGGAGGCGGTCCAGCCGACGCGCGACACGGCGGGGTGCGAGTCGCTAGCCCTGCAGAGCTCTCGGCCCCCTCCCGGGGGGCGGCTCTTCACTCTGGCTCGTCTGTGCGGCTGTTGCTCGAAGTGGTCCTGGTCGGCAATCCACAATGGGGGGTAGGGGGAGGGGGGAAGGCTTCTAAGAAGCACCCCTGCTTCTTCGAAGGCGCGGGCCCTGTCTGTAGATGTAAGGCCCGCGCCTTCGAAGAGGCGGCCTCCTTCTAAGAAGCCTTCCCCCCTCCCGCTACCCCTCTGCGCGCGCCGCAAACTTGGCCCGCGGTGTACCCAGCTTCCCGAAGCCCCTGGGGCCCTCCAGACCTCGTGAGGGGTGCTCTGGAGGCCATCTGGGCCTTCCCAGGAATCCTGGGGACACCTTTGGCCAGGGACACCTGTGACCGATTGTGTGACGGCCCTGGGGCCCGAAAATGATATCTCGACGAGGGAAGTCCAGAGAATTACCAGCGTGATGAATTCGGGTCGTCAGAGATTTGGGAATGGGGGGAGGGGGCAATCCCACCAGCCCTCTGGGCGTCGGTGGTTTAGAGCGTTTCCTCTTCCACCCCTCCTTCTTCCCCTTCGGGGAGGGGTTTACCCCTCCCCCTACCCCCTCCCCACTGACCTGGACAGGGGGTTCCGCGGCGCGTTGGAGCGCCCAAGATGGCCCAAGACGGCTCCACGAGGGCTTCAGGGAGCCCAAGATACCCTCCAAGATGGCTCAAGATAGCGCAAGATGCCTCAAGATGGTCCCCATGATGTTCCAAGACGTTCCAAGAACTCTCCAATACGGTTCCAAGTGCCCACAAGAGCATCATTAGGATGCATCCAAGAGGCCAACATGCTTCAAAACCCGAGGGAAAATCAATGTTTTTGGTGTTCTCACTTTTTTCGCTTGCGATGCACATCCGAGGCGTCAAGATGGCTCCAAGATGGCTCAAGATAGCTCCAAGAAGGGCCCAAGAAAGCCCCATGACGGCGCCAAGAGCGCCGAAGAGCGCTCCAAGAGCGGTCCCAGAGCGGTACAGGAGACGATTTTGGGAGTTCCTGGGGGGGGGGCTCTAATTAAGGAACCCTACTTCCTTGACCGATGTCCTCCAAGATTGCCCCAAGAGCGCCCCAGCACGGCCTTCAAGGGCGCCCAGACGGGTCCAAGAGGAGCCCAAGCCTCCCAAAATAGCTTCCCAAGAAGTCCCACCAGCCCTCTGGGCGTCGGTGGTTTAGAGCGTTTCCTCTTCCACCCCTCCTTCTCCCCCTTCGGGGAGGGGTTTACCCTCCCCCTACCCCCTCCCCACTGACCTGGACAGGGGGGGCCGCGGGTAGTTAGAGCGTCCAAGAACGACCTCTGGGAGGGCTCAAATTCGACACCCCTCACGAGGATCGTGCCCCCAAGGGGGGCGACGCTAAAAAATGCTTCCCCCTTCTGCGATCGATGTCCCCCAAGAGGGCCTCAAGAGACGTCTCGGACTCTCCTCTTGCGCCCTGCGCGCGGGCGGGCGGAGCGCCGCCCGCCCGCCCGCGAGGCCCAAGAGCCCACCAAAACGTTCGAAGATACCTCCAAGACGCCACCAGGGATGAGGAAGAGGCGGAGGAGGAGGAGGAGGAGGAGGAGGAGGAGGAGGAGGAAGAAGGGAGGAGGAGGAGAAGGCGGAGGAGAAGGAGGAAGAGGGGGAGGAGAACAGCTGCCGATCATCGGCGCTCTTCGTTCGAGTGCCTGGTGTAGGATGGGCTGGTGGGGATACGCGAAGCGTCAAGAATTGACGTTTGGCGTCGAAGGAGCCATCACGTTGTGGACCGGGATTGGCATGTTAGGGCCACCCTAGAAACAATGTTCGTGAGAGAAACTAACAGCATACTGATTGAAGACAATGTAATGATAAGAACTGTTCCGTGCAGCCTACTTTCCCACTGTTGGATTGGCCCCCATGTCGTCAGCTCTTACCCGAGACGACACGCCACTGCGGAGGAGGAGGAGGTGGGTACTGAGAATCAGGATGGAATAACATGAGGAATGCATACCGATACTGATGCCCTTGCATGTGTTGCGTTTTGGGGGGCCTCCTGGGGGGGCCTCGTCGCCACGGCTGAACGCGTTTCGGATTTGTTGAACATTATTAATTCTAAAGAATAATTATTGTTGGGCCCCCTGGTGCGCGCCCCCCCTGCGCCGCCTAGGCCGCAGCTACATTTTCATCATGTTCGTGAGGAAGCCTCAGGTAATTCGAGTTGATCAAGATCCGGTTGTTTTGTTGTAATCCGCTTTCCCTTGCAAAAAAACATTATAAAATGACATTTCTTGTTCTAATATAATCAAATTTCAAGAATCCCTTGCAAAAAATAAGGTAAAGTGGACATTCGCGCGCGCAAGACGAAATCCTTCCAAAAGCTTAGTGTTCGGAGCGATTTTAACATAAAAACATCAAAAAACCAATGGTTTTTCAACAACAAAAATGTCAAAATCTCATCCCGCGCGCTCTTGCGGATTCGTAGGAAACCCAACACTTTTTAAACATTTCTGTCAAACGGGCTTTTGCGAGCAACTTTTTCGAACTTCTGCGACAACGGTTGCGCACCTGCCAGGGCCATCATCCCTGTCAAATAATACCATGCGGGACACATTCGTTTTTTCTTCGCGCGCGCACGCCGAAATCTCCAAAAACCATTGGGTTCTTAAGTTCTGTGGTGTGTACCCCACGCCAGTGTAGTAGCCACGGTCGTCCGCACGCCACGAAGTGAAGTGTCCCAACGTCATAGGGCGGGAAGCTGGGTTTGGGTGGTCGCGAAGAGTCGTTTGGATATTTGGTAGAGCTTGTAATGCCCCCCCACGAAGTGGGGGTATTGCCTGGTGTCGTATGAGAACCCTGGCACTGGGGAGAACACCACGCGTTCGGGTAAAATGATTGTTGTTGTTGTTGTTGTTGTTGTTGTTACCTAGCAGCGAAGACTGATAGGTTTCTAGTAGGGTCAAAGAGAGCATCATGACTCCCCAGGGGGGTCTGGGCAGGATCCGGGGGATGCCGTTGGAAACTGGGGACTCCCCAGAACTCGATCCCATGCCACATTTTGACTGCCCGGAGCCAACCGAACACCATTCCCAGGCCACATTTTGAATGCCCAGAGCCAACTATAGGCCACTTCGTGTTCTTCGTGTTCCCAGAACACCATTCCCAGGCTTAGGATTGTATTGCCCACAACAGCTCGGTTCTGTGAAACATAGGATTTACCCAAGATGCCCCAAACATCATCAAAACATTACTTTTCATAGTTTTTCGATGAAATCGTTTTGATCCTCGGACCCCCCCGAAAACAAAAAACCTTCGTATGCGTGCGCAATTGTGTACACATGGCAGCGATTCAGAAGTGGAGGAGAGAAAAACGATGCGGGGATGATAGGGGTGAGGATAGGGGGCGGACAGGAGAGGGGAAGGGCAGGAGGCGAAGGATGGCGAGGGGACGCGTCGCATGCTGCCATTGTGGAGAATGATGAGACATTGAACCGAATGAGTGAGAGCGCGAGCGAGTCCCCTCCCCCATCCCCCTCCTGAGTAGTGAGCGGCTCGGTCGTCTGTGACACCACCTGAGGGTGGCTCGGCCCCACGTCCTGGACGGATGCGGCCTCGGATAGCTTTGGATGGTTTCGGGCGGATCCCGGCCGCATCGGATAGCATCGGGCTGTGTCAGGTTGTCTCAGGTCGCCTCGGATAGCGTCGGTCCGCGCCCGATGGCATTGGATAGCTTCGGAGGGCGTCGGATAGCGGCGCGGGCGTTGATCCAAGCGTGGCGGATTCGGCGCAAACGCGAGTTTGCAAAGCAGCGTTGGCAAGTGGCTTGCCCCCCTTACAGTGTTTGTACGATGCGGAACGGAACGGAAGACCTTGAGACGTGCCTTAGTCCTCATCCCATATGTAGTGGGCCAAACGCAGCCATAAGAACCCAAACTGTGGGAGATGATGGGTGGCTTAGGAAGAGAAAACAAAAAAAACAAAACAAACAAAAAAAAAAAAAAAAAAAAAAAAAACACGCTGCGCGGCATCTTTGGCCTGTGCGCAAACGGCGCTGCGGAACCCGACCCGACCCCCCTCGCTTTGGACAAATCCAACCAAAAAGCCTTGGGGGGTGAACGCGGGCCGTCTGGTTCGGTGCCCTTGCCATGTCAGAGATGCTGTTTGGGGTTTTCTTGTCCGCCGTAGCCTCTTTGGCCCGCCGTTGAAATTGCCCTGTGCTGAGCTCGCGCCCGCAGCTTTGTGAATGCATCGTCGGCCCTGCGCGGTCCGGGCATGGCGGCGGAGCCCGCTTGATGCAAGGCGTTGCTGCTGCTGGGGCAGCAGCCAAGGCTGCGCCGCGCCGACGAGGGGGCGGCGACATCGCAGTGGCTCAGGAGGCTGCCAGGGCCTCTAAAAAACGGAGGGCTGATGAGAAAGCAGCAGAGTTGCGTCGACTGCAAGCGCTAGCAGTTCGCCGTCAGTTCAGGCACGTCTTTTCGATCCGCCAACCCACTTCCTTGGCCATCCGCAGCGACAGCACCTGGCAGAAATGATGTTGATAGCACGCCAGCACTTCTCAGACAGCGGCGTCTCAAGGGTTCCAGATGTCTGCGACCTCTTGTTCAATCCAGGGTCTGCGCATTTGAATTTTGCGTCTGTGACGCTCCATGCAGACCACCTTGACATGGACAGAAAACAGTTGCAGCATGAATCAATACAGCTAGTTGCCGCGTCTTACTTCTATGACCGAATTTGTCGCCGTGCGATCTCGGAGGCCACCATCGCATCCCCAGGGGTGGTCGCGAGGCACATGATAGATTTCGTGGCTTATGACGAAACTCCGCTGTGCCTTCGACTGTTCGGGCCCACGCGTAGACGGGCTCACGGTGGCGCAGACGACGCTTGGCAGGTTGCGCTTTCAAGTGGTTTCGCGTCTTTGGTTCCGCAGTCGCATTGCTCAGCACCTACCAAAATA